TCTTTCAATCCATCGAAATATTTTTTTAAGGAAATCTATTTAATTTATTTTGCATATTTTTGCTACAAAAAACTTAAATATTAAAACAAAAATCGAAAATACACGAATAAAATGTAAAAATTATGATGGCCCAAGCCTGACTACACAAGTGGCCCAACCCTGACGACATGCGGTATTAATCTATTATGGTATGATATAGCCAAACTATATCTCACAATGAAACTATATCTTAGTATTTTGTAAAAAAATAACTATATAACGTATTTTTATGCTCACCTTGCGGATGACATGTTGTTTTCTTGTGATATTCACCTTTTTCGGCCAGGTAAAAAAAACTTTTTCGAGCACTTTTTCTTCACGGAGCAACGACGCGTAGAAGAATGAAATCCCGAAATAAGTAGTCACGTGGAAAGTTTCGAGTGACCGATAGAAGTTTCTAGACACCCACAAACAGATTGTTCTAGAACGAATACTCGAAATATTGAGATGGCCCGACCCTGACAACGGCCCAACCCTGACAACATTCCCCTATATATATTGGAAAAAAACATTTTGTGAATCTATTGTAATTTTACCAACCAAAAAAGAGCATCAAAATATATGTACAAAATAGATTTCTCTTTCAAAAGTTATATATGTTCGTGAACAATTGATTTAAGCACTTACCTATGCTCAGTTGAACTTTACCTTCTACACAAGCGAAAATAAATTGAGATTAATTCTCATTTGCATTTTAGAGATCCCAGCAGCGGATTTCCCATTTAAACAGGGTAATTTTCTGGGCAACTCTTTTTTGTTATCTGTGTGAACTGTTTGCATAAATCAAAACTCTTTACATTTTCCGCTTTGCCATTGTGTATGCTGTTTCCCATGTGTGCCATTCATTTAGTTGTGCATTCACTTTTTGTCATATTCTTTTTTGATGGCCGGAATCATGATTTAGTGCCAGCCACTAGCTGCCGCCCCGGTTGGTCTGGGCTTAATGATGTCAATCGGCGCGTGCTCTGGCTTTAAACTAAGGCCGCATATTTGCCAAGTTTATTTGGGCAGAAAAAAAAATAACAGGGCAGAAAAGCGAAGGGAAAGGGGCCCGCACACTCATCATAAATGTGAATGAGATACGAGCACATGAGGGAAAGGTGGAAAACATGGAAAAGCAATCGCTGGGCGAGGGACGCATATTGCACAACCCATCTCCAAAAAAGGTTCACAAGTGCGCTGATATGCGAAGAGATGCTTGCCAAAAAATTACATGGACCATTGGTCAGCCGTAGCAACAACAGAAATGGGCCACCAGCATCATCATGGCCCGCAGCAACCCTTAAACAACATGCTCCCCCAGCCTCCAAAACCCCGAAACCCTTCGCCCACCATCGCTCCCCCTCGTCGGCCTCTGCCCCGCCCACTTTCTCGCCCACCCACACACCCACATACACCCACACATGTGTATTCAAAAAGGAAAAAAACACCTTTGATGTATGTAATTTTGTTACCATTTTTTATGCCTCTCATTCCAATGTTTTGTTTCGTCCACTTTTTGGCCATAATGTAGAACTGTTTTGGTTGTGCGTGTGCACAACAACGGTTAAGACAATAGTTCATTACTTAAAACGATTCATGAAATAATAATGTTTATGTTTATGGTTTACATTAAAACTTCAGCTAAATAAATAAAAAAAATTATTGAAAATTCTAATTAAGATAAATTATAGTATTTTTTCATGATTATTACAAATCTAAACATTTAGTGTACTTAAGACTTGTAATAGATTGGGCTTTTAAAATCTTAAATTGCTGAAAAAATTCCAAAGACGTCAGAATGTTTACTACCACTAAAATGTTGACCCCGGCTGTTTGTGTGTGTGTGTTCGTCGGCGAGTGTGTGTGACACAGAAAGCCAGTTGTGCGAGGTGCGAAGCTGTGACGTAAGCAGAGAGCCAAACCAGCGGAGCACTGGCCATCAAATTGGGTTACCCGAAAAAAAAAACAGAAAACAAAAAAAATGGCTGAGAAATGGGGGGCAGGATGATACTCGTACATTTTTTCAGTGGCTGGTGCCACCACAAGGGAAATGAGATTTGCGCCTCAGAGCAGCAACGTGTCAGTTTCAAAAGCGGAGGAAAAAAAATAAGGATTGAGGAACTGGATTTCACGTGGAAACACATACACATATATTTAGGGAAAAGTCCTGGTGATTGATTTTATAGTAGGAAAGACGCTTGCCATTCAAACTCCGCCATAAATTCTTGAGACGACTTTTGCAATTTTAGCCAACTAATTGGCCATCAACAGAGAGGAAAGTTGAAAACTTTGTCGCCGCGAGAAAACTTTAGAGTAAGATGAAGTTGTTTATTGACTTTTTCCCAACAGATAGGCGGCGAATTTACTTGAGACTAATTCAATTACAGGAATATTGTCATCGACTTAAGTGTGTTGTGCAGTCATCGAATAATTATCTAGCAATAGGAAATTTTTAACAGGAGGATGGCCTTTGACCTTCGCCCCGAAGGAGCAGGAGCTTAATTACATTGAACTAAATTGTGAAGAGCGCACAGTTCACTTAATAAGTATTCGCCCGGCGACAGCAGAAGCGACAGCGATTGGCACAATTCCCACAAGCTGACAAACTCATCAAAAATTTCACAGCCACTTGGGAAGGCAGAAAAGCGCAAAATTTTTATTGTGTTTTCATTAGAGGCGCGCAAATGGTCAAAAGGCTGCACTTAAAAAAATGAATAATAACAAGAATTTAGGGTAAGCACTGTTGATAAATGATGGTCAATTTAACTGAAGGATTTTTGTTTTGTGATGAATTTTAAATGGTTTTTTTAAACTGTTTTTGTCGTCTTAAAAAAATTGTATTTATATGGGAACTAAAAAGTAGAAACATCAAGATTATAATTGTTTTTTTTTTTTTGTAAAGATTAACAAGCCATATTGTGTAAGGCATAAAACATGATATTTAAAAATGCAACAGACCATAAAAAGAATTTATAACCTCACAGCAAAAAAATCCTGCAGGCTTACTTTGCAACACTTGGTTAAGACATGATTTTTCAGCAGACTTTGGGGACACGAAAATTCAGGCTTGTGGTGTCCGCAAGCATTAACTTCCCATTCGGGGATTAAAGTTTTTCTTAAGTGTATCGGGTGAAGCAAAGCTAACCGCCGACGCCTAGGACACTCTTGAGAGGCGTGACCAGGCGGTGCGGAGGGGGTGGGGAAACTTTGAACAACTTTGACCAAACACCCAGACACGCGCAAGAAATGTGCAGAAGGATCTGGGAAGGACGGCGCAAAGGAACCTAATGAACAAATGAACAACACACCGACACACACACACACACACATACAGATATGTATCTCTGTTTGCATATACACCGAATACATACAGATGGTCGAACACTTTTTGGGGCGCGTTATGGGTGTGGGGGAAATACTTTAATCTCAAGGGCACGTTTCCGGAAATAAATAAATAAAGCTTTACGGTAGAAAGGAAAGCATGGCGAAATGCTGTTGTGCTCATAAAGCAAAAGAGGAGAAGTAAAGCTTTTCCGCATAGAAACTCTTGACGTGAGCTAGGGAAATGAAATTCTTTAAAATTTTAATGATACAAAATATTTGCACAAGGAATTCATCATATTCTCCACCGACAATTTTCATCATCTTTGTGTTTTGTTTGTTTGTTTGGCCAGCACTTGATTTTTAATTTAAATTTGAAGAAAAAAACCCAGTTTATTGTCTCCTTTCCCCGAGGGGGAATTAAACTTGAGGTCGGTTTGCAACTTCAAATTAAAATATATTGAAACTGCAAAATTGATGAATATTGTACTTGAAATTTATTATATAATAAATGGAAATTCTCTACCACAAGGCACACATTTTTCATGGTTGACCGAACAATATATCAATTCTCGATACAAATAAATAAAATAAAAATTACTTTACTTTGCCTAAATCATTCTTAAATATGATTTAAAACTTTTTTTACCCACACGTTTTACTGTAATAAAAAAATAAATTTACCCAAAGTGATGCGAAGCTGCGGTGATTATTAATTATACGAAAAGGCAATGAAAAACTCAATCCGAAGCGCAAGAAAAAACCACTTCCTGCCGAGTCTGTAATTAAAACGAAAACTTTTTGTTTTGCAAGTCATCGATAAATCAACGTAAAACAGGAGCTGAACCCCACCTTTCTTCTAATTTTGCCTATCCGCAGAACCAAATCGCAGCTCGACAGCTGACGACAGCTGATTGATGATCCGCAAAATTACAAATTACACACAAATGTTATCCGAGCCGGGAATTTGGCAGATAAAAATCGAAGACCCAACAAACACACGCCATCCAATTCACTTAAGGCGTTGCACCTTATTTGCTTTCACCCAAATGAATGAAATTGATTGATTATGTTCCATCAATGAAAATAAACGCTGCCACAATTAAAATGAAGAAACGATAAATGTGGCCATAATGACAAAAATTTTGAGCGATTCCTGCGGATTCTTTGGCTATATATATATATATATATATATATATAAATCAGAAAAGTTGCTCAGATTGGCTGAAGCCGTGGGAAATTGAACAGAAGTTGCCACGCACATTTTACCACATTTTGCGAGGACAAACAGGGAAAATGCTTTTCAAAAATATCAAATTTCCGCTTGCATTGAGCTCAGTTTTGCGGGCACTGTCAAAATGTGGGGGAAAAGTGCTTAGAAAATCGACTTGTAAATGGGAAAGTTTGTTAATGATAAGCATCTTGAAAACTCGTTAACGGGCACCTCATTTTGATAGCGATTTAAATTGACTAGAAAAGAAAGAAAGTTTTAGGAAGGAACTGATAGAAAGTTAAACAATCGATCAAACCATAAATAATATATATTTTTTAACCAGTTGGTACTTGCTTAATAATAAGTTAAAATAGTAGGACATCAAATTTATTCGTTTCAAGCAATGTATTTCTGCAGCAGCCCAATAAATTATAGAAATTTTATGTTACAGTTGCTTCAAACATTCAATGCTTTAATAATCGTTATCCAATTTAAAATTTTGACCCATGTTCAAGTTACATGTTATAATCGTAGGTATGTGGCTCGAACTCGTAACGCTTTAGACGCTCGTAGTACTGGCCAAAGAAGAATCCTTCCAACTGATAGGTCTTGTAGATGCGGAAGTGTCCTTCGCTGACGTACCGATTGTTGTAAGCCCAAATGCAATGGTTGGGAAAAGCGAACACATAGCTCATCCTGCCTCTAGAATCCATATCACAAGGCATGTGCTTCCCATGCAGATCCATTGGCATTTCGGGAATTTCTCGAGCTGTACGCTTTATATGTATTACCGGGGAGTTAGCAACCTCATCCGACTCGTTCTGCTGCTTGATTTGTACGGATCTGGCTGCTATTTCTATCGGCTTCTTTAGTTTGGTTTTTGTTTTGCATTATTATTAAGCCAAGTATCTTGTTCAACTTACCAGAACACCGCAAAAAACAATCAATAAAATCAAACATTCGGTTAACTGCATTCTTGAATTTTTAGTCTGTTGTGTTCTAAATTACAAATGGTGTTTCTAATGTATGATAGTTGTTTTAAATAGCAAGGCCACCTGAGTGTTTAAAATAATTCTACCCAAACTGTTTTCTTCACTTAGCATCTAATTGATTTTATGCGATTTAAGAGTAAAGAACATCCTTTTGGTGAGCATAAATCACACAGAAGCTAAAAGGGAATGACCCAGAGCTGAAGCTGAAAGGATATCGGGATATTAGAGAGGGAACGCGCAAGGACTCGCAGCATGTAAAGTGACAGCCGAGTGTCACATAATGGCCAGTGCCGATAATGACCAAGAGCCGATGCCAGATCGATTCATACGGCGATGACATACGAGCCATAGCCATAGCCATAGCCAAGTCGAGGAGCAGCATTTCAAGTGTGAAAATAATATGACAGCAGTAATCAAGGCGTTGATGGCAGAACTAACCTCTCGCACATTCTGCCCATATTGATTTCAAGCTGAAAGGCTGCAGGAAATGGGCAAAAATATCTGGCGGAAATGTTGAACGAAACTGGTTGGATGTTCCCGGGCAAAACGAGGGGGGTTCTCTGGGTTGGAGTGGGACCGACTGTTAACACATGTCAGTGGGCCGTAATTGCAAGGGGGGTTTAGCAGTGGAGAGATTTGAACTTCGAGCTAGAACCGGGCCAACATGAATGACAATTGTTTTGACACGCATGTTTTGGCATGCAGAAAGGGACAGCGATAGGGACAGGAAACAGAAAACGCCAAAGGCACGAAACGGGAGCGAGAGAGAGCGTCCGATTAGAGTTTAGTTTCAGTGATAGAGATGGAGATAGATGTATGGAGACGCACTTGCAACGCAACTTAATTGAATTTTTAAGGCCCGTTCTGAGTTAGATTTATGTGAAAATCACTTTACCGGACTTCCTTTTCCTTTAGCTTGTTGATACACAACTCTATTAGGAAAAGCTACAAGTTAATACCTTGCTGAAGAACAATGTTAATGTAAAGATACAAGATTTGAATGATACTGAAAACGAGCGGAAATAGAAAACTAGTAGAAATTTATGTTAAATGAAATGACTTAAAATAACTATTATAGATATAAGGTTTTTTGAAGGTTTAACAACGTTTAATCTTTTAACATTAACAAACAAGTTCCCGCAAAGTATAAGTTGCGCTACCATTTAAATTCATAGTCGATGATCAATAAACCGTTTTTCAATTCTCACTTGTATTTTCCAACATAAAACATTTCGATCATTTGCTTAAATTAAATTTTCATAAACTTTCCTCAGGCCGTTATAAACTTTAACAATTTAGCTTGACTCTGCATAAATCCTTTTGCCTGTCTGTCTTGTGGCTTTTGGCCAACGGGGGGCAGTCGTTTAAACCACATATACAGCCAGCTTCCTGGAAACGCTAAATGCCTTAACTGTTAATTTTGCATCCAATTAAGCCCGGCAATTTTCGGTCCGAGAAGCGATTCCTGTTTATGACATCTCAAAAGCACCTTAAACTCGACCTCAACCCGAAGCGAGGGCTTTCGGGAGCTTCGCGAAGGCTTAGACTGAGTGGATGGATACATGGAATGCAAACATTTCCATAGCGAATTGTGTGTACCTGCTGCAGATGCAATTTCAGGGCAAATGGGACGCTTAATTAAAGCCAAGCACAAGGGGCCTAAGGATTGGTATGAGGGCCCGTCACTCACTCAAAGGCTGAAGTGAAGGACGCCCCAAAGATTGACGATTGCCGAGGTGCACAGCCAGCTGATGAATGTGTCTGGATGGCACTTTCGTAATGGCAATCACCATTGCCATAGCCGTGGTCAAAGCCATGGCATTTGGGATTTAAAATCCTTTTGGTTACACTGCATTTCCCCATTCAAAAGCTGTCTCTTTCCTTATCATTACTAAATTAATTGGGTTTTGCAAGAAATATGAAATTTGCGGTTAGTAACTCAATTTGGTTAATACATTGAATTATTGATTGTAGATTTGTATTAGAAGAGCAATGTTTATGCCAGAGACGCATAATTAATAATGTGATTATCTAATATATTGGCCTGTTAAACTATGCCAATGGAATGCATATTCAGTGCTATAATTCTGAGCGCATCTGTACATGACGCAGATGGAGTTGGCCAAGGAAAATTCGGTGTTTCGTTGGTGATAAACCACGATACAGCCCGATGTTGAATACCGGCTGGGCAATAACTTGTCCCTGCCATTTTCCCCTTCTGCAACCCGAATGCCCCTATGAGCGCATTCCATCTTCGACTTTGCCAATAAAGTGAAATATCCCTCCACAAGCTCTTCTTTCCCAATTGCAACCCCACCTTATCGTGCAACTGCTTTATACTTCTTCGTGGCTGCTGTGCTGGCACATATTTTCGCCTGCTGTGCCAGCAAATTTGTTGCAGGACTCCGATGCAACAAAGCTACATCAGCTGCAGCACTGAGAAAATAAATGAACACCTTGGAGAAGTTATAAGTGGTAGATTAGATTTAAACACTCTATAAATTTATTTCTCATTGGAATATAAACTACTTATAATGTCTTTAATTACTTTACCATAATATAAGAACTTCAAGTATTTAGATACAGGAATATATGTGAAGCGAAGGGTATTGAAATATTGCTAAAAAACGGACTGTATACTTTATTCAGAACATCAAAACTTTCAGTGCTTATATTCGACGACACTTAATATGGGTAACTGCGTCGCTTTTATGTTTCCTGTTCAACTTTATTGAAAACTTTTAGCCGAAATGTTCAGGAGTAAACTTAAATCACGACCGAATTTTTTTTTCAGCGCAAACTATAACTGCCGTTGAAGCAGTGGCTTTGGCTATAGCTGCAACTGAATGTGGGGCCACACACAAGCGAGGCATTTGTGCTCCCTTTCTTTACTCCAAGTTGTTTTTCATTTTCATTTAGTTTTTCCTTTTTCCCGCTTTTCGCACGAAGCGCCGCGACCCCTTTGTTTATTTGCGCTCTGTCGAATCACAAAAACTGTAGCGCCATCAGTGTTGGTTTGGGGTCCTGGTGTCCAAAGGGTTGCATAAAGAAAGGAATGGGGGGCAACATGTGGATGTGGGCACCTTGCACAAAGGCGGAGGCATCAGCGTTGGGACGAACTAAAGCGCGGCTAACAAAATGTTTATATGCCACAGGGTTTCAGCCAGAGATGCGAAAGATACCAGTTTCTTGTGGGGGAAGTACGAAAGTCTAAAAACCTTTAATAGAAAATGGAATGCAAAACTGTTTTTAAGATGTAATAAGATATTTATTATTTTTATATTTTCCACCATAATTGTTTTATAAGTTAATTTATTTTTTACAGTAATAAAGATTTTACGATAATACGTCATGCAATGAAAATTTGCTTTTAAAATTTTATTTGTATGTTACCAAAATTATTTTACACATTTTCCCCCATTTAAAAATAATTTAAAAATTGTATCGCCTCTAGGATTTTATTGCACCCAAGTTCGGTGAGTAGTTGGGAGATATTCTGCGAGATAAAATTGTAGCTGTGAAAGTTTGGCGGTGCAGGGTGGCTGAATGGGTGGTGCCGCTGGCTTACTGCTCACGTATATGCAGTTATAAATTGCACTTCGTGCGCCACGTTTGCCCGGTTACAAAGATGCAGGGGAAGATCCACTGCATCCACAAAGAAAACGTGGCTCCACGAATATAACCCCATCCCATCCCATCCCTGTATGTTGTTAGTGGCATTTTAGCCCAAAGCCAAAAGGGTTAAAAAGTTTTGCAAAAGGGGCGAACAAAATGTTGAAGTAATAGAATTACCGAAATACCGAAAGCTTTGCTACAATTAAATATTTGAGCGGTCATACATGAAAGCCCAACCAAATACAAAACTATGCCCCAAGCAAAAAGCATTTGAAAACGACTAAATTTCGTATTAAATTGCTCAATTATACAACGTGCGACAGCAAGGGAGCTCGCCGATAATTGCAACAATAAAACGCACACGACAATGGGAAAAAAATTAAAATTGATATAAGATTAAAGCGGTATAATAACACGCAAATAAAAAAATAAAAGAAGCAACCCAATGAAGCTGGTGTTGGCTGGTTGGCTGCAGAACCTTTTCGGTGGAGGAGAATTGACTGCAGCTGCATTCATTTGCATCGAAAATGTGGCAACGAGTCGAGGTTGAAATAATTGCACAAACGGGGGCTCCATGGAGATGGGGATGGGGTCATTGGGATATCGATGGCACAGACGGGGCGGCACGGAATTTAGTCGAATGCAAATGGGGAATTATTGGCAAGCATTATTTACTTATGCATTAAATGCGATTTTCAACTTTATTTAACCTCGATACATGGCAGGGGGTTAATTTTGATACTCGTATGTTGTGTAACACAACATGTTCTCGCTTGACTTGATTTGGTTTGGGATAATTTGTAAAGTTCTCTGATTATTTTGCTTATTGGAACAGGTATTTGATAAATGAACAACAAAACGGAGAAGCATATATGAATTTCGTTCAAATTTTTAAAGTAGAAACAAAACAATTGCATTTTAAAATCCAAATATGATTAGAGCATCTCTATTTTTTTTCACCCTTTAGCATTTTTACAACATTTTTACAATATTTGCTTGTTCAGCTTTTTAAACTTTATCGAATACAATGATTCTAAATTAGTGAATAAAGTTTAATTTGCATGCATTCAGCATTCATATTTCTGTCACCTCAGTGGCTTAGTTATTTAATTAGCGCTTTGGTCATCTGTGAAAGCGGAGCTTCCTGTTCGTGAATAAGTTTTCTCGCCATCTGGATTTTCGCATGGAAGTGTGCAATTAGGGGCGTCAATTGTGGTCAGTGTCCTCGTGCGGAGAGATCGCGTTCCATCAACTTGACCATGGCAACTTGTCAGCGTTTCCGTCGAATCATCTGCAGCGTCCTTTTCGTCCTGCTGGTCCTCCTCTTCCTCTTCCTCGTCCACTTCCCCCTTCGTCCTCGTCCTCATCCTCGATGCTGTCACATTCGTGTGACAAATGCGCACTTGGCTTAATCAGATGGAATGTGCCCTTGCCAAGGGCATAATCACTTTGGGATTCAGCTTGGCGTTCTCCATGTAAAGGCTTTTTTGCAGGGCAGTTGCCTTTTTGCGTTGCGTCCAGAATCGCGATTCTTGGCTCTAATTAGTAGCCTTTTTTTCGCCAGCTCCTCGTCTACTTTATCCTGGAAATGTTTTTGGCCCAACGCGAGATTGATGGTGATCCATTTTTTATGCAGGAAGCTGTCCGTTGTCTGTCCTTTGCAATGCGAGCCGGACAAATGAACGGGGTGGCAGCCGTGGGTTCTGCTACTTGGGGGATTATTTCAAAGGGGATTGCATTAATTAGCTAAAAACAAAAGCTCGTTATTTCTTGCTGATGCAGCTCCAAAGGCCATTAAATGCTGTCAGGTCGGGCAAAAAGCATTTTGACACGAAAATTGGTTTCGTATTTGAGCAGTTATATATAGTATGTATGCATTTTCAATTGTATTTACCCACAAACGTATTATATTTATAAAGTCTACATATATGCATACCAAATGCGGTTGTAACAATATTGGCCGAAAATTCCAACGGGAGTAAGCGAACCGAGAATAGTCTAAAAATTGTTTTCCACCTTCGATAGCTGGGAATTACCATATTTTCACAGCAAACGAAAAAGAGAAAGCGGCACGTGAAAGGTGGCAAAGGGGACATCAATGCAATTTTTACTCCGCATTTCGGGTTACTTTGCAGGCAAAGCTCGAAAAGATGCTAAAAATTGCAACGGAATTGCAAATGCTGTTGACACTTGCACAATGCAAACAATTGGCCCAGCTATCGGGTTTTCCTTTTGCATTCACTCTTTTTCCCGCCACCCCCTTTTCTGTCATAAAATGCTCCCTCCTTTTTGGGATTTGAAAGTTTCGAGTTTGGGGGGTTTCCCAGGCAATTTTCATGTTTACGTAGGTTTTGGCAACACTTGATTGCCTTTTGGGCTTTTCCTGAAGGAAAAGGTAACGCTGGATTGGTGCCAGGAAACTTCTCTACATTTTTCATAAGTATTTTGTTTGGCTCGTGCTAATATTTCTAGACGCCTTTGCATAATCATGGGAATTGAGATGGAATAGAAAATAGCTGACGTGCATCTTCAATTGTCGTGTTGTAATGGAAATTCATATTTATTATTGGTATTGGTAGCACGACACAATCATGGGAATAAAACATGAATAAAGAACAGGCGATAGACTTCAAGAATTTTAATCTTAAAATGCAAATTTATATTAATGATTTGATGATATAATGGATTTGTGTAAATATATAAGAGTTTGCAGGTTTCCTCTTTTTCAACAGAAGTACTTAAACAAATTTAAGCAAAAAGGTTTGTTTTCTTACCTGTTCCCCAGACTCTGCCAATCATTTTGATAGCCTTTCCGAATTCATAAGCATTGGAGTATTGGAACCGGATGTGAAATAAGTCAAGCACAAGTTCTTAAGCATCTCCCCGAAACCGATTTTTATCGTTTGTGTTTGTGCAACATCTGCAGTTAGTCCCCTCCACATGCGATTGGCTTGCAGACTGCGGCTCATAAATCATATTTGTATTTGGATCTCGTTCGCCTTTTCCCCCGCCATCCGAATTTCCTCGGAGTTTTCCCGCAGCGACGACAGCATTCAATCAAAATGCTGCAAAATCCCACAAATTTGTTATTCGTCACGTAGCCAAAAGAAAAGTTCAATGTGTGTAACAGTGTTATTTTTTTCCCAAAGTGTGCGTTGGGTATTACGTATACGCCCAGTCAAAAGGCATTTACGAAAAGAGTTTAAAGCCGGCGCGGGCATTTAAAGTGGCATAATATGTAAATATCGGAAGAGAATAATATGCATTACCCACTCCGTGGGTGGGGTAACATCCATTCCCCCACGAAGTCAACATATGCCGTACATTTGCCGGAGCGGCAACTTATCAAGTTTACACTCAACTGAATATTTAGAACCGCTGTTGAGTTGAGTTTCCCCCATTTCATTCGGGTTTCTCGCACTTCCCTTCTACGCACTGCTTATTAAATATTAAAATGATAAGGAAAAGGCGGAGGAAGGGTCTCCTTTTTTTTTTTTTTTTTTTTTTGGTTTTCTGTGTGTATGCATTGGGGTTTGTGTTCATGTCTATCATTTGCTTTTCGCCTGTTTTTCTGTCAAAGCGGCTTTAGGTTTAAATCCCGAAAAAAACCAAAATGTCATAGAGAAATGAGTGCTTTCAGTCGGCTGTTTGCTCTGACATATTTAATCAGGTCTTATTAGTTTACTTTTAAGCGGATTTTGCAAAAATAGCACTCTTAAATGAAACAAAATATTTGGTTTTCATTCAACTAAAACATACTGAAATTAAAGATGGTAATTTAAAATTTAATAACGCTTAAAGGCAGGAAATATTTGAAATAATATTTATGGTAGTTAAATAGTTAAAAACTGTGCTCAGAAAAATATACAATGCTTAGCTTATATGTACCATTATATTCTTTTTTAAACAGTATTTGATTAGTCATTGTGTTTGTCATTTGTTTTTAAAAGAAAGATTTTATTTTGGCAATTCATAGCACTCTATTCTTTATTCTACTTTATGGCGACGAATTTGATTGACGATAAAATCGATACTAAACGCTCTTTTCAAGGGGTTTTAGTCTCAAGTTTAAGCCATTAATCGCAGCGTCATTACTCTAGCCCCTTCATATGCTAATATTATATCTTCATTCATATTTTCCATGTCGCAATCATTTTGCGCCATGTTTCTTTTCGTCCGTCCTGCTTTTTTGTGTGTTGTTCTGTGGCATTTCTTTAGCCTTGATTGCAAGCATTTGCATAATTTAAGAAGCTCCTCGTCTGCGTCGTTGTCTTGAGCTGGCAAAGCATGAAAATGAAAATGAAAATGAAAATTCCAAGCCAAGACGAGCCAAGCCAAGCCTTCTTTCTTCCCTCTTCGAATGGATGGCGGTATCCTCTGTCTTGCTGCGCAGAAATTATCATATCTTTTGAAGCTCTGTTCTAAATTATTAACGAAATAAATAGCGAAGGCAGCAGCAACAGAGGCGCCCGAGAGCGCCATGGGAATATTGAAAAAGTTTCGCATTTCCATTTACCAGTTTCTTTTCTGTCTGTCTGTCTCCCGTTGCAGGAGTAAAAGTGGCAGCAACAGAAGCAGCAGCAGCAGCAGCAGAAGCAGCAGAAGAAGCAGCAGCAGAAGGGGGAAGCGGGATTTGGCGGCCAAGCGACGACAATCGGGGGCATGTCCACAGCCAAAAGGCTGGTGCTCTCGCTACGTGGACGCAAGAATTCGCAGGGCAACTCGGCGACCTCATCCACCCGGCTGGTATCCGCCGGCACATCGCCCGGCCATGAGCTGGACGAAATAGCCGTGGTATCCGGCACCGGATCCAGCAGTCACCACTTCTCCTATGGCGGTTGCCTCGCCACCGGCGGCGATGCGCCTCTGCCGCGCTACTCAACAGGTGAGTAAACTCTGAGGCACAAGATTATACCTACAAGTCACAAGCCAAGAGCTCCAAGCTCCCGGCTCCGACCTCTAAAGGCAGAAGCACCCGAACTGCAGTTAAGTAAAGTCACCAAAATGTAGACCCACCACTACCACCACCAACCAACCAACCAACCAACCACCACCACCACCTGCAACACTTCTGTGACCTGTGTGAAAAACCAAAACCCCAATGAACCCGACCTGCATGCCGGTAGAAGTGTTCGACTCACCTCATTTACACTTGGGGATATGAAATGAGGAATTTAGCTGAGAATAACGCTTAACCAATATATAACACATATGTGGAAACTTTCTGTTTTGCCAAAGAAGTGCTTATAGGAAAATCATTAGAAAGTGGCTAAATTGAGTCTATAAAAATATCAGTTAATTAAAAACGGAAATTTTAGGAAATTATCAAATAAAACCCTGATTTAAAAGTAGAGTTAATTTCTCAATTCGAAGATCTACATAGGAAATGGAATAAAAAATTGGTTGTGAGAGTTAAAAAGATAATTAGAAGGAAAATAAAACTACCGGGATTTCCCCTTGAATTCAATTTTTTTAAAGAATAAAAGCACATAAAAGTAATTTCTAAATAGCTAGACGTTAGAAATCTACCTTTTTCTTTAGCTTTTTGATATTTCATGGCTATACAATTTTTTATGTTGTTATTAATAAATAAATATAAATAAATAAAATATAAAGGGGTTATATAACTACCAATCAGTAGTAGTTGGTAGCTCAAAACCGCTTGGAATTATAAAAAAATATACACATTTTTTTACACTTTAAATAGTGATTTTTTTGTCTTGTCATATTAGAAAAAATTGGAACAGCAATAATGCTGTTAATGCTTTCCTCTTTTTTTGATGCTTAGTGCACTTGTTGGCTTTTTAAAGACTATTAAATATTTTGTCCACATAAATGCAAACCACGTAGAAAACTAACTCGTTCGTGATTTTAGTTGACATAAATCAATTTGTTTTGTTTTATTTATTTGGCTCCTTAATTGCGTTTCTCTTACTGTTAGTAATAGTTGTTTTTAGAATTTTAGAAACAAGTCCATGTTTTAGCGAATTAGTTAGGATTAGTGTTTATATGTATGGGCTTTTTGGGATCTTCTTAGATCCCAACTGGAAAGCGTGAACAAGCTTCCGAGTGACGATCCACCAACGCGTTTAGAAACAAATGTAGATTTAGTGCTTGGGCCCTGCTAAATTATGGAAATCTGGGGTCTAATGAAAGCGATGAAGATTTGATTTGACAAAAGCGCCTTAGCAGAAGGTCCTTGCGAGAAGCAATGGCAACGCCGATGGAAAGGCAAAGGCAAACAAATAACAAACAATCTTGGCCAACCTAATGGCAGCTGTTGTTGGCTCTGCGGAATAAATCAATCAAATGACAAATATGCTTAGGCAATTGTCAAGCCAAGTGGCTGCCTGCCTGCCTTCTGCCTGCCTGCCTGGGTTTTCTGGCCTAATTTCATTCGGAGGCTGCGGTGCGGTCGCCAGTTTTGTGCCATTGTAAAAGTGTGAGTGTGTGAGTGTGTTGTTTTAGCCAAAGCCACACGAGGAGCGAGAAGAGAGGAGCTCCGAGGCGAGTCCTTCGTTAGTTTTCTTGTCACATTTTATAGGCCGCATATGTGTGGCGTGGCGAGCGTCTTTGTTTTTTTTTTTTTGTTCTCCTGGCTCAGCGCACGTTCGTTGGCCCGGCTTACAGTTAATTTTGAGTGAAATTCAATTTATCATTGAGCGGGGCATAAATCCGCATTTGGGCCACTTTGGCTCGTTACGGACACAGAACTCAGAACTCAGAGCACAGAACGGAGCGTAGATTTATTTCGGTCGGTTCTGTTTGGTTGTCGCATTGTATTTCCCACGACATTAGCAAACTGCCTTCAATTTGTCAGCAATGAAACTTTGGCCCACATACGATACGATACGAAACGATATCGTACGTAGTATTGCATTTAATGGGACTTGTGCAGCATTTAGCGGAAGTTCGCCTTGTTTATTGGCCAGAAGTGTAATCGACATTTATCGCCATTTCTATGGCAGTGACTTGGCTTTAATGTCTTGCCACGCTTTAACGCTTTCGTGGAGAGTGAAAAAGTGGAGTACATAGTATGCTGATATCGAGGGAGTGAGTCAAAAACCGAAGCGTACGAAACATGGCCAAAAAAGTTGTTTGCAACTTTTGCCATATTTTTTCCCAGCCCCGAATGCTTTCGACAATTTTTAGTACATTGCCCTTACCACCCCTCGAATGTACATATATACATACATACACATTTTGTGTGTGACAAAGGCAATTTTGAACACGGCTTTGATCAAAGTTTCGGTGCCTGGCATCAGTAAATTAAATTTGACTTACACCAAAAATTCGGCATAAAATAGGAAACAAGTGAATAAATCTACGGCATAAATTTTAGCTATATATGCCATTGGCAAACACAAGCCACGCTTAAATCGATATGCGCAACTCTTAAAAGCTTAGAAAATTGAATTTGCCTACTTTTGTGGGAATATCGATCAATGGAACCGAACAGCGTTTATATATCTATTAGATAGATGGCCGGATAAAACGTTTTTCGTATTGAACTCCATCTGGTTGGCAGTGTGTGTGTGGGTATTTTTGATTTTTTGCCGATGAATGTCTTTGTTCGAGTCACGTTTAACTGGAAAAAGCCAAATGGATAAAGCTATCAACAGTGGCTCTTTGTCCCTCCGGCAGTTTCCTCCTTTGTCTTTTGTATTTTGTCGTTTTGCCTCTTGGTTTTCTTGTTTTGTGTCCTGCAATAATTGAGCTTAGAGGGTCTTATGGCAGCTGCATCATTGATTTGCCACCCAATCCCGCCACCCAATCTGCCGCCCTTTTTGCCCAATGCAAGTTTTCGCAAAAGTTTCCCGCTTCGTTTTTCTTTCCATTTTATTCCGTTGGATTTTTGCTTTTAGCACAGCCCAAGCTCAAACCCGAAAAAGACTTCACTGCCAGACATAGTTGAGTCGCAGGAGCAGCAAAACTTTTTCCATTTGCCAACAGAGTTCACTTTTCCAGTGGGCGAGTGAGAGGCTACGACAATTTTCAAGTCTCCCCTCGCCCCTTCGCACTTGCACCCGGGAAAATTGCGCATGTATAATTAGTTTTATTTACCACCTGGCACACAAATTTTAATTAGAATTTATGCGTCCTTCTCCAGTGGCCTCCTCTTCCACCTCCACCTCCACCGATGCTAATCCTTTGGCTGCTGTCCTGCCTGCAACTTCTTCGTTGTCTTCTAAGGCGTCTTTGGCAGCCAGGAATTTTCTGCTGGCCAAGCGATTTAACTTCAGCACAATGCCGTGCACTGAGCAAATACTTGGATGGGAATTTAATAGAAAATATTTACCTGGAGATGGAACAGTTATCGTTGCACACTTTTATTGATTTTATGTTTAGAGAAATTTATGTGCAATAAAGGAAGGAATTTATGTGTTTGCACTACAAGTTCAGCTCAAGAAAAGATTGAATTCCCATTAGAAATTTAAATTCTTATCTCTTCTGTCATTTTGATTACCTGTTACCTTTTATCGCTCTGCATCAACTTCATCGCCCGTCTGAGTTGTAGTTGCTGGCCGTATGTAATTTGAGTATTTCAATTATAAAAGCAATTTGTCAGAGGATGGGAAAGTTTCGATTACAATAAGCGTATTAGCTTACCAATTACTCGATATAGCCGAGAACCAAAGTGGCAGGAGTAAGTCACGATGGGCAAACGGAAAGGGGTATAGTCGTAGATTACCATATCCATGAACTATTCAACCGGCAGCAGAGGAGAGCAGAGTGTGTCTCAAATTTTCGGCAACACAGGGAATGCAAAAATAGTTGCCGGCACTTCACGATGCCGCACACAGTGTTGCAGGGCTTGCCGTTTTAATTGCCATTCGCGATGCTATGGCATGGAAGCCACGTTGCGTATACGCCACGTTGAGTTGTCCACATTGTTGCCGCGAAGTGCTTGGGACAACTTTAGCATCGGAGACTCGCTGCGTGCAACACAAAGGGCCACTTAAAGTTGGCACACAAGCGCTTTCACAAAAGGGGATTTGCTTTGAACGGGACGAGAATTGCGAATGCGAATGCGAAGGAGCGAGAAGGCAGCAGAAGGAGAAATGATGAAGGACGAAAGACGGAGGTGGAGGAAGGACGAAGAGGACGAGAGTGGGCTTAAAGGTCGGCGCCAATGTTGTAGTCTGTAATGCAATTACAAATGCAGGTGGGGAGCAGATCCAGCATCAGCTTCAGCTTCCAGTTGGAGCGGCATTAGTTGGCATCCAGCCAGGTGTCGGCCAAAAGGGCGCTCGAGTCCGCTAGTGGATTCTATCTACCATTTCCACTGGCACTCCCTCATCCGAAATGGTTGACTTATCAACTAAAGTGCCGCATTAAAAGGAGCAGAGCAAAAAAAAAAAACTAGTAAAGCGCTTCGCCCTTTGCACATTTGCAGGGCCATTGAGCTCTTCTCCTGGCCTCCCCCTTATTCCCCCTCTTTTCCTTCCCTTTTACCAACTCTTTATCCTCAAGTCCTTTGAGTGGGCATGACGCAGACAAAGGGCATTAGAAATGGTCAGATAAGGAGATATGCAAATGATCTGCAGCTGGGAGCGTGTGCGACTTAAGCTGAGTGCCCAAGTACTTGTACTTGGGGAAAAGTTCAAGCTTAAATGATTAAATGTATCTACTTTGTGAACTATCTGTTTATTATTTGTAGTATTAATAAATATTGTAACAAGAAAAAGCCGAATTCTCTTTTTTAAGGAAATATATTTTTCCTATTTCCAGATCAAACATTTTTTTATTTGTTTTTGAGGGAATGAAATTATTAAAAGAAAAAAATATACAAATTTTAGTGGCACTTCACATTTATTTATTCATATTTAGCTTTAATACCACACATTAATTTTTATTTTTTAAATATCAATATTTTGCAAAACT